CCCCGGCCTGTAGGTCTGCTGCTGGTTCTTTCTCCCCAGGTGCAGCACCTTGCACTTGTCAGTGTTGAAACCCATCCTGTTCTCATCCGCCCACCCCTGTAACCTGTCCAGGTCCAGTTGTATCCTGTCCCTCCCTTCTGGCGTGCCCACCTCGCCCCAAATATTAGTGTTGTCAGCGAATTTGAACAGGGTGCTTTTCACCCCCTCGTCCAAGTCATTAATAAAGAAATTGAACAGTGTGGGCCCAAGGACCGAGCCCTGGGGGACCCCACTGCCCACATCCCTCCAGGTCGATTATGACCCATCCACCACCACTCTCTGGGTGCGGCCCCTCAGCCAATTTGCGATCTATCTGACTGTGTAGGCATCGGTGCCACAGTCGCCTAGCTTTTTCATGAGGAAGGGGTGGGAGACGGTGTCGAAGGCCTTCCTGAAGTCCAGAAAGACTGTGTCCACTGCGACACCTGCGTCTAATGATTTTGTGACCTGATCTTGGCACCTCAGCTTAAAAACACTGCAAAACTGTAAAGTGACTTTATAAGATCATTATCCAAACTATTTATATGTCTATTTATCTATACCCCACGCTTTTTCATGAGGAAGGGGTGGGAGACGGTGTCGAAGGCCTTCCTGAAGTCCAGAAAGACTGTGTCCACTGCGACACCTGCGTCTAATGATTTTGTGACCTGATCTTGGCACCTCAGCTTAAAAACACTGCAAAACTGTAAAGTGACTTTATAAGATCATTATCCAAACTATTTATATGTCTATTTATCTATACCCCACCCTATCGGAAAGGCCTGGAAGGGCTTACAGCGAACAAACCTCTGACGGATGGGATTCCCAAAATAAGATCCAAAATCTGGGAACTCCAACACCCTCTTGCCTCCCCTGTGTCTCTGCATAGACTCCCATGCAAGAAAACTTTCCCTCTAGGAAATGAGCACTGCAATGTGACGTGATACTTTAATTTATTATGTGAGTTCTTGAATGCTAGTTTTTACTGGACAGGCAGTTTTGCAGGACTCAAAGCAGAAATGAGGAATTGTGTGAAACTGGGCACAGATCCAGGGTCAGAGGCTGCAGGGCTCTGTCATCGCCTGGGTATTGTAGCATTCCCCAATTAAAAAATGTAGTCTGCCCTTTTGCTCTCAGCAGCGTCTGAGTGTCAGGAGATGCTCGGGTGCTAGAGAAACTGTCTGTGGTTTGACGGCATCAGCACAGAGGGTCACAGCGCTGAGGGCAGCCTGGCTGCCAGCACACGTCTGTCCTCATGTGGTGTGACCTGATACGGACCTGAGCAGAAGCTGCCTGTCACTGCCTGTCTCAGCCCTCCATGCTCTTCTGGGGATTTCCATCTTGCTTTCCCCCTGAGGCAGTGGACAGACATAATGGCAAAAGCCTGGACGTATGCACAAGGTAAAATGCTCTGCAAATGTCCAAAGCTCAGGGAGAATGACCCTGGTGGGAGCAGGTGCTGCATTGTGCCGTTTCATTTTAGCAGCGTGCATGCTCTGTGGCAGTGATTCTCAACCAGGGGGTCACCAGGTAGGAGAGAAGTGCAGGCTTTTCCCTGCTGGCTGCTTCTCCCCCTTCCTGGCCCTTCTCGGACCAGGTAAGCTCTCTAACAAATACGCTGGTTTGTGAAGTGGAGTGCTGCTCAGCTCACAAAAGCTCACAGAGGCTGCCTCAGGCCTGAAATGGTTGAGAACCACTGCTGTATGGAGTGTGACAAGGGGCTGGTCAGTCCTCCAGGCATCCCATCATGCAGCACTTCTCCCCTCTCCCAACACAAACATATATCCCCCGTGCTACCCCCTGCCAGGGAACCTGTGGGCTGTCCAGGGTGCAGGGAGCACTCATTGACTATCATACACTCCCCCCACTCCCTGTTGGCGGGTAGGAGTCGTCTGCCGCTGAAATGCTCCATTTTTTTAAGTGTTTCAAGCCCTGTTACCCTTTGAAATGGTCTTTCTGTTCCCACTGAGAGATGTGCCTTGGCTAATGATGCTCTGTGGCTTGTGCCCACAGCTGAGCTCGCTGCAGGAGGTGATTCGGGAGAAGGATGCTCTCCTTGAGGAAGAGGCTCGCCGTCACCAAGCCGAGTTGCTCCAGGCAGCAGCCCGACCAGATCTGGAAGGCGAGATGCAGCAGGTGCGGTGCAGAAGGGTGGCATGACCATCCCCTGTGTGCTGTAAAATGTGTGTGGTGTGGGGCAAGTAGCACAGTGTCACAGACCTGGCTGTCAGAGTGGCTCCAGGTTCCTGCTTTCCCACTACTTATCTCAAGGAGTAGCCCAAGGTTTGCCCCTGGGATGACAACTCGTCCCCACAAGCCTCAGCTCCACTGGCCTTAAACCCCAGAGTCCACTGCTGCAACGGGGGGGGTCTTGGCTTCAGGGGGTCTCCCATTGGCACCTGGGATATCACGTGTTTGGAGATTGCCCTTTCCTGCAGGCAGTCAGCAAGGCAGCCACACAGCAGGATTGATTGCACAGAGGAAAATAACTGCGAGTACAGGGGAGAAAACCGGATTTAGTTCCTTACCCTCTCCTCTGACTGCAGCACAGTCTTTCGGAGACTTCTGGCCGTGGTTTCGGAGACCGGCCCTCCTGCTGCCTGCCACCTCCGATCAGGGTTCACTCCAGTGCGCGGGAAAATCCAAAGACCTTCTGTACCTAAGAGATGCCTCCTAAATGCCTTCGAGCCAGCGCCCTTCCCCTCCACACCTTTACTGTACTCTGTTTGCTGCAGGGTCTGAGAGCTCTCCAGAGCCCTCCTACTTGAGGGATCTGGGATTTGCCCAGGTTAATTGCTCTTCTCCCCAAAATATACTTATTATTGGGAAGCTAATATTTTTTTTTCTTACAGGTGAATTGATGCCCACAATAGTTTGGGTGCTCATCCCAGCTGCAGCCCTTTCTGACTGGTGTCTGTGATGAGCCTGAAAGTTGCTCTTGTCCTTGTAAAGCAACTGGCCATTGACACCTGAGAGTTCACTGGGTCTGCACGCTGCGGTTCTGGCCTGTAACTAGCCATTAACTAGAGACAAGTACTTTTGCCGTCTGGCCTGCTATAGCTTTTTGATTAGCGTTGTCGCCACGTTGCAAAGATGTGTGCGTACAGAATAACATGATCCATACAGCGACATAAGGGGTTCAGCGACCACAGTTTGTCACTAGCTTTTCAAAGAGATCAGGCTTCAGGGCCATTGAGACGCATGCTTGTGCTCCGAACCCCCAAATCATTCC